GTATATATATAAATATATAGCATACTTCTTACAGATCTGGACGTGGCGACAATACAAGTAAATACTCAATGGGGTTGTTAATCTCGTACACATACAAGATACAGTCCTCTACTAAGATACTAGTATTATGAACCGCAAATTCACGCACATACATGGCATGCCTCCTTGGTGCGCATACGAATTCGCTAGATTCATTTCACAAACATTAAAATATACAGCTCGGATGCGACTGGCTCCTTCAATCGAAACCCTCCACATACACACATGACATAGTCTCCTGACGCGGGAATCAGTTTCATACTGGATCAACCTCGTGTTCACATCGCAAACGTCTTCGATACGATCACGACTCTTATGATGAACATATATCAAATACACCGCAAACATGCACCACTGTCGTTATATCGACTCACAGCGACTTTCACGCACACAAAATGCATACTTTTCAGAGGCGACTACGTGCTGTAATCGATCCTCCATCTGTTCTACGGCCAGTGGTGCGAACCGGAAACTTGTACAACGAGATTGTACCGCCGGGATGATCTTGGATACATAGTTGCATATGAGGCAGAATCTAACATTCTTTGTGTATTTCTCAATGACTGGGGCGAGGAAGTGGGAAATCGGGAATGAGGATCAGTATACGTTTTTCCGTTGCTTGGATATCCGTTAAGATGAACAATAGCAAGCAGGAATGACAAATCCTGTACGGCACATCAGCTACTGTTTTGTATGCCTACGAACGAAATAATCGGTGGTAAAAGACACAGCTTTTTATTGCCACGATTTGCACTGCTCGCGCACCCCTATGCATCAGGTAGCACTGGATAACACAGCCATCTCATCTTACCTCGTCTGAGAGCAGCCTGTGCTGCATTCGTCATCGCATCGGCTTCATCCAGTATAATCAATTTGTAGCCTGAACTACAGTAGAGCAAGGTACACGATTCAAGTAAGTATTAGTTCCTATACTTTCTGGTTAGTGTTGTCTTTTGATAAGAAGTAGAAACAGACTAACGGTCCACTTGGCACTGACATAAAAGTCTCGAGACAGTTCCCCTAACAGATGAGTATGAGCATCTCCTAATCATACTACGTGTGCCAGGGTGAACGAATTCGACCAGATTGGCAGACCAAAAGTACTTCCGATCCGATCAGCACTGATCAAATGCGAAGTCCGCCATACATTGATATGATTCAATCTGAGATACTTCGGTTATTTGGTACCGTGAAAAACATTGTTTGAGAACACTATTTGTACTCTAGGAAGGAAAATCGATTTCCCTTTTTGACGAATGAGCAAATCAGAGCACATATGGTTGCAGATGAGAGTAGTCCTGGAAGATATACAAACGGTATATCCAAAGCTGCATCGGTGTGAACAGAAGGCGAGTCAAGGGTTTAAAGTTGTTAATTACTCGGTAAAAGTTCACACCGCATATATATTCACTTTGCATGCTTTGTTCTTTATGAGTAGTTTTGGGTAGATTAATGACATGTGCGCAGCTCAAATTACGGACAGGGATGTGCAATCATATGCATGTGTTATCCGAATAGAAATAGATAAACTAGTCATATATACGCAGCTCAAGTTAGGATAGAAAAGTGCGATTTTATGCAGACGTACTGAAGTGAAATAGCTGTTGAATAAACAAACACACTAGTAAGCGTGTGTACTCATGTGCTCACAAGACGTGTTCTTATACAAAAAGCCACTTCATTCACTATTTTTCAAGCGTGCATGCGAATGTGTATATCCGGTAAATGGTTAAGTGATTATTTGTCCGATTCGATAAGTAGTCAAGTGTAGAGACATCAATAAGCCAAGAGGAAGGGCAAAACTATCGGGTCTTTGTACATCCGAAGCCATTGTAAACAGGAAAAAAGCAGTGTACTTGTGATTTTATACACAGACTATGCCTAAATCAATCCATAAAACATACACATACTATTGTGCATCGGCAACTCGTGAAGCCTAAGAAGAACCACTGCGAGCGATCACGCTTATTCTATGACAATGGCGCAACGAGACAGCATCCCCGCACACAATACTGAGAACACAATTAAACTTTTAAGTCTTAGAATTACCAAAAATGTAAACTCAAATCAGCGATTGTGAGAAAGCAAGTCGCAGGAGATCAAGCACAACATTGTCAAGGCATGATATATATCACATGTAGACGTATGCCTTGGCGCACAACTGTGCACGCATGAGACGTCCGACAAAACTTATATCTAATGTAAATGAGCATGCTCTTAGGTGCAAAACTACGCACACACCGTATTTGAATCCCATGTGTATGGGTATACGTCTGGTCACACAACTGATACAATGGACGTTAAACAGTAAAAGTACTTAAAGCTAATGTATATAGACAATCATGATGATGTATATCTCATCATATACACACCTAAAAATAGTCCTCGTGCTCGCAAAGGACTTAATCTTCTCCCTGACCACATCAATACCACGGTCGTCACTGGCATTCAATTCCAGGATCATATTCTTATACTTGGGCCCGTATATTTGCTGGGCTACAGCCAATATAGTCGACGTCTTTCCAGTACCTGGGGGACCATAGAACAGCATGTGTGGCACTCTATCCTCCTTGATAAATGTCTGTATAGTACTTATTATATCTGTGTGTGAAACCAAATCATCCATACATTTGGGTCTGTATTTCTCCACCCAGGGTAGCTGTACTTTGTCGCGTGGCTCCTCATCTGTGTGATTGACTTCGGCTTTGCCCTTGCCTTTGTCGTCGTCACTGCTCATGCCCATCATCTATAAGGATGCGAGTTTGTATATATGTATGTATTTGTACACG